TTCTGTTGAATCAATGATTTGATCCTTAGCAAAGTGTGAATAGTATATCTGTGATATCCACATCTTACCGGGTACCTATTCAACTGTAGAGGAGTGAGCGAGTTTAGTTTTACGCCGCACTCGGCAATATTCCATTTATATGGCGGCGGTCTGTAGGAACACATTGTAGCAGAAAAGCAAATTCGCACACCAAACTAGCACATTCATCTAAATAAGTCAAATGTCTACCATCTATGCATTAAATTACTAATTGGGGTTCCACACGGTCGAACAAGAAAAGTATTGTCTAACTTGAATGCGGTTGTGAGAGTGATGTCCCTTTGTCGACACATTATGATTTCAGTGGCAGATGTTTTATCAAATTGTGAGAGTGATGTCCCTTTTTATGATCAAGGTGAAAATGCGTGTTCGGTGTTAACTTCAAAGTAGAAGCTGGCTGTTATTTGTCAAAAGAGGTGATTATCCGCCCCTGTGACGTGGAGAAGAACATAGACAGACCGATTGCGTTATGGCGCATTGGTAAAGATAAAAGAAACCTTTAGGATTAAATAGCAATAACCGAAACCAAAGCATTAATGCTTTAAGTCAGTAGATACCAGCTGAACATACACACAGTGAGATATGGCTAACAGGCATAAAGGCGACACACCGATCAGTATTACAACTTCCTTGATCTAAATAAACAGAGGGTGTTTTCACTAACCCAGGTATATGTGTATGGTATTGTTTTCTTTTGATTTGTGTCTCACATGCCATGTTGGCGTTTCAGTTACATCTTTGTTCACTATTGTAATTTCATGATAGTGTTCGGTGGAACACCAAAAAATCAACTAAATGTTTTCGTGTTCAGACTGGAAGATACTTACACAGACAGATAGACAGACACACAGATAGTTTATTAACGTCTGGCCTCAATTTACATATAAGATGCTATAAAATAACATAATATAAAAAGAGCCACTACTGTTGGAGTGGGGGCGGTGGGGTAGCCTAGTGGTCAAAGCGTTCGCTCGTCACGCCGAGGACCCGGGTTCCATTCCCCTCTTGGGTACAATGTGTGAAACCCTTTGCTGGTGTCCTTCGCCGTGATATTTCTGGAATATTGCTAAAAGCAGCGTAAAAACAAAACTCACTCACTCACTCCTGTTGGAGTTATGAGAGACACGAAATACACAGCTCCTTCAGCAGTTGGCTTTTATTGCCAGGGGCGGACGTCAGCTTAACCTCTGACCGAGAAGTCTGTCACTTCAATGGCCAACTAAGGCCATTAAATGTGTTTGCTATGGATTAGTATTACACCTCACACAAATAAGACCGTTTTGGTGTGGTGCAGAATGTTTTACATGCAATAAAGTCCAACTAAAAGTGGATATTTAGAAAATTAGGGTTCACCTTACATAGGGGAATATACGGATTAAGGATTAATGACAGAATACTGTTTTTACACGTACTACTAAAAGGTAAATAGTGTATATAATTATGAAAAATAGGTGTTCATCTTCAAGTATATTCAAATGGCATATTAACCAGAATTATGTAATCGGCATTCTAAACGTCGATGAGTCAATAACGAAGAACACGACTTGATGGATAACAGCTTCTTGTTAATGTATGGAGTAACGTTTCCGTGTAGATTGAGCTTGATAACGGTGTAAGAATCTACACGTGCAATAAACAAGGTGTTGTTATCCATAAAGCCGTATTTTCCGTTATAATTAATCCGTGAAGGTCCGGGTTAGAATTAATCTTCAGTAACCCATGCTTGTCGTAATAGGCGACTAACGGGATCGGGTGGTCAGGCTCACTGACTTGGTTGGAACATGTCATCGTATCCCAATTGCGTAGATCACTGTTGATCTATGGATTGTCTGGTTCAAAGTCGATTATTTACAGACCGCCGCCATATAACTGGATTATTGCTGAGTGCGGCGTAAAATACTATACTCACTCGTTATAGTTACATAACCCCGTCAATCCCAATACACCCTATTATTTTTCAAGGTTTGCCATCAGCTTATGGCCATATTTTGATGCGTTTCTCATCCCCATTATCAACCAAGATAGAAAGGACGGGCGAAAAAATACATACAAATAAAAAAAAAAGTTCTATATTAATTGTATTAACCTTTACATGTAAATTTGAGTGTATTAATGTGTATATCGTGTCGCTTTGCTTCGGAAACAATGTTTTCTTAAATGTAGATGAGTGAGTTTAGTTTCACGCCACACTAAGCAATATTCCAGCATAAGCATCGATCTACGCAACTGGGATACGATGACACGTGTCAACCAAGTCAGCGAGCCTGACCACCCGATCCCGCTAGTCGCCTCTTACGACAAGCATGGATTACTGAAGATCAATTTTAACCCCGATCTTCATGGGTATAAATGTAAATGAAGAAAGATCAAGTTGACCTGTGTTTTTATGAGTGTGTAAGAGCAAGGGTGTTTGCTTTGTCAGGTTATCGTGGCATAAATGTTCACAGCGGCGTGAAAATTTAGATAAGAAACCTTTATGTATTTTACGTCGGATTGAAAACTCAGGGCTGGCGGGGACGGTTGGGTATATTGCTAAGAGCGGCATAAAACTATACTCACTCACTCACTCTTTCCTTAGTGATCACAATTTTCTCTTCAATGCGACATTAACGAACGCCGATACGCGTGTACTTGATCAGATACCCATTACTCAATAAGATAAATGGAATTGATTATGACTCACTCACTCAGGGCGGGCGGATGAGATGTTCAGATTGGGACACTGGGAGGGGCTGCACACCCCGTCTGGATCGGCCTATGGCCCATCGAGTCGGAACTGCGATTATAATAATAATTGATATTTTGTATGGAGACTGAATGACTTCTTCAGCTATTTTACCAATTACAACTTTGAACCTATATGTTTATATATTTTTACGTCATGAGACAATGAATGTTTAGCTACAAACATTATTTTTTTCCAACAGCGTGAAGCATAAATATTATTTTCGAACATTTTCTGGAACAACGTTCAATTCTGTATCTCGTGTATTCTAACGGTATACACGAGCGGTTGACATAAGCGGTTGCTGTCAAAGTGGATAAATGTCCTGAGAGAAGCGGCCGTAAAATATCAACATTCCGCTCTCAGTTCAGAATACTTGACTAAAACCTGTCATGGTCAGATTTTATTTGTTACAGAAAACGTCGTTGGACGTAACACACGTGTGGGCGCCCTGGGGCGTTGTTGTTTTAATTATGAATGATACCGTGCTGATTATTCCATGTGTATTATCCGTTGATGAGAGCTTAAACATTTGTTTATGAATGAGTGAATGGCGTTTTAGTTTTACGCCGCTTTTATTCCAGCAATGTCACGGCGGGGGACGCCAGAAATGGGCTTCACACATTGCACCCATGTGGGGATTCGAACCCGGGTCTTCGGGGTGACGACCAAACGCTTTAACCACTAGGCCACCCCACCGCCCCTGAAGTCTTATGAGATGTGTAGATACTGGACATGTATGTGGATATGGCATACAAATTTTACATTTATCTACATGTATCACGTATTTCGACGTATGGAGGGCCGGTGGGATACCCTGGTAGTTAAGGTGTTCACTCGTCACGCCGAAGACCCGGGTTCGATTCCCCACATGGGCACAATGTGTGAAGCCCATTTCTGGTGTCCCCCGCCGTGATATTGCTGGAATATTGCTAAAAGCGGCGTAGAACTAAACTCAGTCAGTCGACGTATGGAAAGCATGATAGCATTAAAATGAGTATATACTCCTCACAATAAAGAAGTTGACATCCATAAAAACTCTCTTCCTTAGTCAATGGAATATCAGGTGCAGACTCCATTATTGACAGACTGGAATATTGCTGAGAGCGGCGTTAAACAACAAGCACAAAGAACACAAGCCTGACTATTGGAAATGGCTTTGATCAGGTGACAGGTGTTGCCAGTACATCAGATAGAAGCGTCGTCACAACACCGATTATTTTATGAATGTGTGAAGCAGTTTTTTTCTTTTCACATTCTCCCTCATTATGACCCATTGCAATTGTTTGTCAGTATCACGCTTCCCTATTGGTTTTTAGCTTCCCTGTGGTTTAGTGTGGGGCCTCTACGAACTGCTGGAAATAATAAGTCCTTAGGTGTATCCCGCATACTGAGCTGACATGACGTATACTTGTAGTTTTTGGGATGGACTGGAAATGATTTCACGTGGGGAATCGAACCCGGGTCTTCAGCGTGACGAGCGAACGCTATAACCACTAGGCTACCCCACCGCCCAAACTACTATCGATATCATACACCTTAAAAATGTCAACGATTGTTCCAGATCAGATAAGTGGGGATATTTAAACCGTCAAGAGAACATTAAGCCTTGACTATGCTAAGAAACATTCCATTTGTTGTAAAAGGCAAAACGAACCCATTCGAATGGACTACAGTAAGTCGGTGATGACACCGGGTGTTTGCGAAAAGGATAAGCATGTCCTGCTCTGCCAGTAGCAAAGTGGCATTGACATTTCTCACATGGTGTATTTGTTTCCTTGAATTCGTTCCTTCGTTAACCGACCAAAACCTCCCAAACTCTGTAATAAAAAATAGACAAACAGCTGTGAACGCTGTTATGGGAAGGCTTATAGGAATAAGAAAGAAAACATTTGATTTGTCAATTTCAGTTTATTTTTATATTGTGACCAACAATACTCCAGTAAATGTACATGCCTCAGGTATGTTTGACTGATATATATACAATGACAAGTACATGTAATGCTGAAAATTACAAAATATCTTTTCTTTCTTATTTTGCACTTTGGTCTCTCTTAAAACCTCTTTAATCCGGACAACATAACTCCAACTTATCATACCGGGTAACAAATGTCTGGAAAAACGAATCACAGTTATGGAGTTATGTCCCTTTGTATGTACAGCGGCGTGAACAGTGTCGTCCCGAAAGCAGTTCCGTATTAACGAGGGTCCACTGTACCAAATACATGTAATACTCTTTTGTTATGGTGTTACATATAACAATCTTACAATAATGTTATCATACGCGGCAGTAACAGCACCTTTATATATCACACACAACAGACAATTCAGACAGTTAGGTCCATCCGTGGTGTTGATGCCATTTGGAAACTGATATCAAAATAACACCAATACTCTCCACTGTAACAATTGTTCATTCAATATAACTATTAAAATTAATTTCATGATCACTATATGTAAAGTAATAGCAGTGATGTTATGTTCATTTTGAGATTAAAAAATATTTTTTTTAATCTGATACGAGATGATTACCAGTAGTGGATACATGAGAGTCTATATGTTCAACATTATTAATGAAGTATATTCTGTCTGCAGTAAAAACACAAAACATTGCCGCGGACATATAAGGCTGGTTATGTTGTGTAATGTTGCATAATACTTTTTCGTAAGATGAAATGAGTGGAATGACATTCATATTTTCTCTTTGAGTTGATGAAATGTTCGTGTGAAAGTGACAACACAATATGCACTCGTCCGATGATGTAAATTCTTGAAAATATGACACTGGTTCTTTGATCAGAATGGAGCCATGGTTATCGCTGACCAAAGGGCATGCATGACTTCAACAACTGTCTGATCCTTGGTGAACCATTTCCAGGAGTGCTTCCACAATGGAATTTCCAGCAACTTGGAAGAACCAGGAATCTGCCTTCTTGGAATTTTGCCTCCTTGTCCTAGAGTTGCTCATCTGAACAGAAAAAAACCATTAGCGATACAATGGCATTTGATCGGCTAAACAAAACAGGCTGCGCAAACTAACGGACTGCAACTTCCTGAAATGGCCGATAATAGACTAAACAGGCTTGTGTGGGTAGGCCTGTTGGATGTCTCAGTCTCTGATTTTGTTTCATTGATTTTGAGTTCATACCTAAAGAATGTTTTTAATTATTTATGAACAAGAGTTTCACAGCAACATAATATGGTGTGCAACGCTGATCTAATCTCGGATGTACAGTGTGCTCACCGTTTTTCACGTTAACACTCTTCATACAAATTTGACATTAAACTTCTTAACAATACAGTATATATTTAAATGCTTCATTATGTTTTACGCTGTATCTTGCACCTGTATGATGGGCCAGTGGCCCCCATACTGTCAATCACCGAAACCCCACAGGGAGAACGAAATAGGATATCAGGACCTAGAATACCCTAAACCCCCCACCATGGGATTCACAGGGTACAAGCAACCTATCCCCTCCCTAAACCCCTACAGAAAAGACTTTAGGACTGTGGGCATAGACTAGTTATGTCATTTTTCCTCAAAGGGAGACTATTCCATCCCTAAAGCCAAACAGGAAGATGTATCAGTTACTAGAGACATAACCTACCTTTCCATCCCACATACATGGGAGTTTTGTAAATATTCTCCCTCTGATTCCCCACAGGGGTACACATAAGGGACACTCAACCCTTGAATCTCCACAGGGGTACACATTAGGGACACTCTACCCTTGAATCTCCACAGGGGTACACATTAGGGACACTCTACCCTTGAATCTCCACAGGGGTACACATTAGGGAGACTCTACCCTTGAATCTCCACAGGGGTACACATTAGGGACGCTCTACCCTTGAATCTCCACAGGGGTACACATTAGGGACACTCTACCCTTGAATCTCCACAGGGGTACACATTAGGGACACTCTACCCTTGAATCTCCACAGGGGTACACATTAGGGACACTCTACCCTTGAATCTCCACAGGGTACACATAAGGGACACTCTACCCTTGAATCTCCACAGGGGTACACATTAGGGACACTCTACCCTTGAATCTCCACAGGGGTACACATTAGGGACACTCTACCCTTGAATCTCCACAGGGATACACATTAGGGACACTCTACCCTTGAATCTCCACAGGGGTACACATTAGGGACACTCTACCCTTGAATCTCCACAGTGGGACAAGCATTATGTATTGGCAACATATTCTGCTCAAATTCGACCACCATCTATTCGGAATATCACTGACAGTACACCTGGATATATATTGCGATACGTATTGCGATATATTGGGAACTGAAGTGTTTGACAGTGACTGACACTAATTGTGCACATCAATCCTTTTTTGTTCATTATAATTCCCTAAACATATGTTATGGTTCTGATAACAGCAGTCTCAAAATTAGTTCGCATAGTCATAGATTCTATTTTTGTTTGTATACAATATATATACAGTATAGTATTACAGTATACTGTTTTGTCATTGAATAATACAGGAAAACATTTGTTGTGAATGAAAGTATGTGTAGATTTTAATTTTAACCATAAAGATGATCACAAAAACTTCATATATGTTCTTTACCCGATATACCGGTTCTCAGAAAAGGATATTGCAATACGTATATCGTTTGAAAAGCATATTGCGATTTACCGGTCTAGCGTTATACCGTAGAGTCCTAATATATATGTTCACTGAGTTGACAATACATACCTCCTACAGCTCTCGGAGACACCTGTGGCCTCTTTATAGAGAACTGGAAAATAAGATGTATTGATAACAATATATGATCTTTCTTCAATAAACAAAACTTGATCATAAAAGAGGAAGTCATTCATTTGAAACAAATGTCAAAAATCACTATGCACCCAAAAATATAAAATTATGATTTTAGAGAATTAGAGAGTTAGTCTCAGTTTATACAAACCACTTCTTACAAATTATTATGGAAGACCTTAATTTTACGCATACACATATAATTAAGTATAATTAGTCAACACTGATCGTCACTGGTCAGTAGCAGGGTGTGGGGAGATTGACAGGCCAAGCAGAAATGAATATTTTGTTCTCAGGAATTATCGTTGTACAGTCCCCAAACAATCCTCGTCAAACCCGAATGTTAAACATTGGTAAACATTTCAAGTGAACGGTCATTCCAAGAATGCAATAATTCGGGGAAGGACGATTTGTTTTTAGTACACCGGATTTGAGGCCGAAACGGATCGTTGAACACTTGTCAACACTAGTCAACACTGGTCGTCACTATCGTCACTAGTCAGGAGCAGGGTGTGGGGAGATCGACAGGCTTGAGCTCCTCCACAGGGTGTGTACACGAAGTTGCAAGTCGAACAATGCCAAACATTCTACTCACGTCAAACGTAATGCGTTTACATTACGCGTGAAAAAAGTTAATATGATACGTCAACGTTGGTGAATCGTTATATAAGTAATCTCGAATGTTCGCCGAAACAAATTCCATATGTTAAAAGGAGTGAGTGAGTTCAGTTTTACGCCGTACTCAGCATTATCCCAGCTATATGGCGGCGGTCTGTAAAGAATCGAGTCTTGACCAGACAATCCAGTGATCAACAGAATGAGCATCGATCTACGCAATTGGGATACGATGAAGTGTGTCAACCAAGTCAGAGAGCCTGACCACCCGATCCCGTTAGTCGTCTCTTAAGACAAGCATGTTTTATTGAAGAGCAATTCTAACACGGATCTTCAGTAGTCTCCCCGTTCAACAAACCTTCACAAGTATGTGTAAAAGGAAAATTGCGTTGAGAATATTATGCACTGATCACTAAACCCATCTGTTCCGAAAATGGCTGAATATGTAGTTTATACAATACTTACACTCCTGTCGGAATCAATGCTGGGGAAGCCTGACTGGAAGCCCTTCTCGGCTCTGTGCTGCTTCTCCATGGCGCTCTGGGCTTCCACCGAATGAAGCCATGACCTGTTTTCTGACTGGTAGGAGTACGGATCGTAGCCATCTGGCTGGTAACCCTGGAAACAGGAGATGCAGGGTGACGTAGGTCATGGTCATGTGGTAACTGGATGTATACTCAACAAAATTGGAAACGTGACACTTGTCAGAAGGTATGTATGGCCAAAAAGCTAAACGTATTACCCCTCCGGTCAGTAATTACGTTTTCCTATTTAAATTAACATTGTTATGGATATTCAAGGTAAAATAGTTTTGTACATGTGAATTATCACTGTACAGACAAATAGTTTGTTTCCCTAAACCAAAGATCCCTACACTTTACCAATTTACAATAAATAGATCGCTCTACCTTTGGAGACAACTCAATGTATTACATTCGGATGTGTATATGTTTGACGAGTAAGTTTAAATTATTTTCACATTTTTCGTGTGTGTTTATTCCTTTGTAGACATTACCTCGTTGCTATGCGCCATGTTGGTGTAACCGGTTTTGAAGCGTGGGTTTATCAGGGATCGGCGCTGATTGAAGTCTTGCAGTGAAATATCGTGTCCCCCTTCAGAGTAACCGTCAAGCCTGTAGGCAAGAACAGTTGTTATACGACTGGCAAAACATTCATACTACTCATAAAAAGTAAAAGAAAAATTGAATCTGACATATAAATCATTCTGTAGTTAATCTGCCCTCGAGGATATGGCCTGGACGTGTAAATTGACACCATTCACGTTCATTTAGATCTTTGCATAAAGATGCAGACAAATAAATATCACAAGGCTGTATGACAAAAGGGGTTATTTCAACTTTCCAATACTCAGCTTTCATTTCATGTCGGGCAATACTTTAAATGTTCCGCATCAGTGACAAACATGACGTCCGGTGCAAACCTCTGTGATAACTTGCACCACATGTTCCCTAACTGTTTCAGCCTATGACTGGTGCTACCGGTGGTGCGGGACACGCTCACCTTTTCGCGAACATCGGGCATCTTCACTATTTGATAGTGATTCATAAAGTGCTACAGCCGGAATTGTACAAAGGACTCTGTTTTAGCAGAGACTTCCTATGGATGTGGAAAGGGTTTCGTTGCAATTATTGTTGAAATATATGAATGCCTTTTTTGTGGGCATAATTTAAATATACATTATAAATATTATATATCTGTCTCTTTGGTTTGCTTGTTAACATACGTATTTTATTTGATACATTTCTTAAATGTTTACACATATTATTTACAGTTTTCGTTTCATTACTGACTTGTAACATTATAAAAATGATAATAAGATATTTTATAAGGATCTTTTTTATAAGACTCGAGTTACTACCAGGTATCAATGATAGGAATAAACAACAGTAATAATTATTCTTGTCTATTTTACCGTAAGTATTTTGAAGCTAGATTCCTAAAAGGCGATAGATGTGTTGCTGCATATAAGCATTACAGAAACATGGTTGAGTGTTGTTTTACGCCGCACTCAGCAATATTCCAGCTATATAGCGGCGGTCTGTAAATAATCGAGTCTGGGTCAGACAATCCAGTGATCAACAGCGTTTATCTACGCAATTGGGATACGATGACATGTGTTAACCAAGTCAGCGAGCCTGACCACCCGATCCCGTTAGTCGCCTCTTACGACAAGCATGGGTTACTGAAGATCAATTCTAACCCGGATCTTCACGGGTATTACAGCAACTAATTATCATGCAATGTGGAATCCTTACAATGACCGGTCTGTCTTGGGTCCCTTCCTTCTTCTGAGACAGCAGTAGATGACGGCGACAGCGAGGATGAGGATGATGCCTCCGCCGATGCTGCAGGTTATGATCAGTATATACATCCAGTTCATCACCTGAGTCTGACACTTTTCGCCGCTGTAGTCGTACAAGCTGTCACTCGAACACCTGGGAGTGGACGGGGTAAGTCAGTGGTTAATGTCATTACCTGGAATTTCCGTGTTTAAGCGCCGGGCTTAAATACGGAAAATCATTGTTCTAGTGATGAAATATCTTAACTATATTTAAGTCCAGGGGTTAAATTCGAAAATGCGCACGCAATATGTTGATAAAATAAAAGGAATAGTTTTTTGTTTTAAACTCATTTATCAGTAATCTGGTCAATAAATTCAAAATTGAATGACTACTTGGAGAGTAGTTGTTTTGTGATATGAATAAAGTGTTACGTAAATTGTGTATGTAGAGTGTCGCTGTGTATGTGCACCTAGAATGTCAGCCCACATGACAGTCATGTTCACTGTGTGGTAATGATGGGACTTTTGGATACATGATATGACCATGATTTTTTGTCATCCTAATTATAAACATTATTATCATCATTAATGACAGTAGGTGTCTTCTTGTAGCGCAAGAATGGTAGCAGAGGTGGCAGCAATTACATTAGCAGTAGCAGTAGGAGTAGGAAGAACAGTCGCAGTAGTAGTAGTAACAGTTGAAGCATTAGTATAAGTAGTAGTAGGAGTAGCAGTAACGGAAGTAAGACTAGAAGTAGCAGTGTTAGTAGTAGTTGTAGTAGCAGAAGTAGTAGTTGCATAAGTATCAGTAGCAGTCTCAGTATTAGCAGCAGTTATAGTAGTAGTAAAAGCATTAGTAGTAGTAGCATTCCTGGTAGTAGTAGTAGTAGAAGTAGTAGCAGTCCTAGTAGTAGTAGTAGCATTCCTGGTAGTAGTAGTAGTAGAAGTAGTAGCAGTCCTAGTAGTAGTAGTAGTAGGAGGCAGTAGTAGTTATAGTGGTTGTAGGAGTAGTAGTAGTATAAGTAGTAGTAGTAGTAGTAGTAGTAACAGTAGTAGTAGCAGTAGTAGTAGTAGTAGTAGTAGTAGTAGTAGTAGTAGCAGGTAGCAGTAGTAGTAGTAGTAGTAGCAGTAGTAGTAGTAGTAGTAGTAGTAGTAGTAGTAGTAGTAGTAGTAACAGTAGTAGTAGTAGTAGTAGTAGTAGTAGTAGTAGCAGTAGTAGTAGTAGCAGTAGTAGTAGTAGTAGTAGTAGTAGTAGTAACAGTAGTAGTAGTAGTAGTAGTAGTAGTAGTAGCAGTAGTAGTAGTAGTAGTAGTAGTAGTAGTAGTAGTAGTAGTAGTAGTAGTAGTAGTAGTAGCAGTAGTAGTAGTAGTAGTAGTAGTAGTAGTTGTAGTAGTAGTAGTAGTAGTAGTAGTAGTAGTAGTAGTAGCAGTAGTAGTAGTAGTAGTAGTAGTCCTTGTAGTAGTAGTAGTTGTTGTAGAAGTAGTAACAGTAGTAGTAGTAGGAAGTGGTTATTAGTGTCAACATTCTTGCCCAAGCCTTATTTGACATCTTCATTGAACGAAATATCGATTATTCGTTAGAAGAGGGCGTAGATTTTGGTATACTTACTGGCATTGTGCTTGAATGGAGTTCTCATCTATACCAGCAACTTGACATTCTCCATGGTCCCCACAGTTTAGGAACTCACAACGATGGTAGCAGAGTTGATTCGTTTTATCACAGACCTGATTGAAAGAACATACATCATTCCCGACCGCCTCGCAGAGGTCTCCTAGTGTGTTTGTAACTGTAACAGAGATGTAGGCAGGGATTGACAATTTGTTCAAAACTCCAATGGACACAGATTCATTAAACTTTAAAAATCCACTTAACCAAATATTAATTTCACTTGACCACAATTAACAATTTGGTTTCTTTTGCAAATGATCTTTATCAATTATAAACAACAGACAATCGCATTTTATTTCATCATCAAAATACATACATGTACATGAAAAATTTCAGTAGTTTGGCATTACTGTACCAAGGTAAAATTAACAAAAACCGGATCATCCGCACGGCTGAGGTACGATGAAATGCAATACTTATCCAACGAATACCCATTTTAGTCTGCCCTTATTGAAAACACGACTGGTGAAGATCCGGGTTAGAATTGATCTTCAGCAACCCATGCTTGTCGTAAGAGGCGACTAACGGGATCGGGTGGTCAGTCTCGCTGACTTGGTTGACACATGTCATCGTATCCAAATTGTGTAGATCGATGCTCATGCTGTTGATCACTGGATTGTGTCTGGTCCAGACTCGATTATTTACAGACCGCCGCCTTATAGCTGGAATATTGCTGAACGCGGCGTAAAACTATACTCATCCACTCACTCCCGCCAGTAATGCATATAACATACTGAGGCGTGATCTGTTACACAGCTACTTACAATCATTTACAAGACTGTTGAACTCTGGATCTTCTTTCCATGTGACACCATCTATGGTTTGGGGACATTGTTCATGGCAACCTTCAAGTTATCCCCCAACTGTTTAGCTACAGTCGTATTTGTCGTATAAACATCCGAGGCGTTAAATGCCGCGTTACAGTTCATAGTTGTCGACCTGTAATAAAGTACAGTAATGTCACAACAATTTCAAGCAATCAGTGCGGTTTTGTGAAAGTAGGAACAATGAAAAAAAATTATAATAATTTAAAATTAAAGATCAAAACATATATTTGCATTTTAGTTACTAGATATAAACCTAAAACGATATTTTCAGTGTATTTAATTGAAAGTGAGATATCTTAATATCTTTAGTATAACTCAGATCGGAAAGTGATAAACGAATTCTGGTTTGAGTCCTTTGTCGCTCTAAAATCAGACATGTAGTCACGAGTCGAAAATCTACATAATAAATATTCAATCCATTTGTCAGTTTTATTGGCAAAGCGATCTTTTTTTCGCGGTGGGCGGATCTGTAAAGTTAACCCAACAATAGGAAGCCAAAGTTTGTAATGATCACAATGATCATCTATCATTTTGGTAGGAGAGGGTCCTACAGATGCCTATCGATGCAAACAATCATTATCGATGACATGGCTAAAGTTATTTAAATGATGTTTCAAATATTGCAATTGATAGCCTAAAGAATCTAAACCAGTTTAAACAAGTAGTTATGTCGATGTTTATCATTTTTAAAATCTAGTTGCAATGATAATATACTATGGTTGATATTTCACATACAATTGCCACGATTTGGAAATATAATGTTTGTTGGGTAAACGTACGTTATGTTATGACACACACTCTATAAATACAATTATTCATATACTCACGATGTGGCTCTTTTTCGTCTACGGGCATTACTGAAGAAACAAACGGATTACAAATAAATACAAGGCAAAAATCAACGAATAGAGAGTTATGAAGGTATCAACACCATGTGTGTTAACGCTAAATCTACTGGAAAATAATTGAAAGCACAGTACATTTAACTCTATTGGGCAATAAAAGAAAACGCAAACACTTTTGTTGTTAGCCAAGAAATCACGTGAAGCACCTAGGTTGAGCCTAAAGGGTTGTCGATTCGAATGAAGGAAATACCAATTACAGCCAAAATGTGGCATTTTATAGTTCAAATATTTATTTTCCTTATCATAATTCGCATGTATGACATACACTGATAGTAATAGGTAAACAGTAGACATGACGTCACGGTCGGATATTGAAACCGCCAAACTTCAAGCCCCCTTGAAACACATTCTCTACTTTTGTCTTGTTTTCTCCGAAAATACTCTTTCACACGTATTCAGCAACATTATAGTACTTGTAACTCTGTACTCTGGTCCTATAATTATATATATCATTATTTAAACTGCATTCCCACTTTAAAAGAAGTACTGTCAATATTAGCCGTCAAGCCAGTTGATAACTGTGAGTTGAAACCTCTCATTGACCAATCAGAGTCAATTATTTGATCTTCTATGGGGATCTTCTACGGACTAAGAAAGGAACAGTCAGGGAGGGATACCTACGTAGGTGCTTCCGGGAGAATCGTCACTTTGAAGAAGCCCTCTACAGAGCCAAAAGCTTTTGTAATCTGAAATTAAACAGAATGATCTAACACACACTGACAAATGAAAAAGGGTAAAGTGTCTTTTTAAAAAAAAACCAAACAACGCGTGACGTTTGTATGTCCCACAAACCCTACAATGAATGAACATGAATGAGAGAGTATGGTTTAACGCCACTTTTAGCAATATTCCAGCTATATCACAGCTCTCGGACACAAGAAATGGGCTTCAGACATTGTACCCATGTGGGGAATCGAACCCGGGTCTTCGGCGTGACGAGCAGACGCTTTAACCACAAGGCTACCCCACCGCCCGAATAGACATGTGCTTCATTATCATTATCTGTATGAAGCATTTATGACGTGTTTGTATGTTAGTTTTCTTGTTGCAAAAGGCAACCTTTAACAGGAACCTTTGTCTAGTAAGTTGAGATCTTACAAAGGTTATCTAACTGCATTAACTAAACGCGATGGTAAGCTACGTGTGTCGACATACATATCGAACAGCTTTTAACTGACAATCCTACATCCTTTAAAGATCATGGGTTCAAATATGACAGTACAGGCCAAGAGGTGGAAAACTCAATTCCTGTAGGAAACATACAGGCTGAAAGAGAAAACTCTTTGCAAAGTTTTGTGTGCACTTTGTCTATCTGTCTTCTTATAGAAATATGTACTTACTTCATCTGTTAATTTTCCAACCAGTTTTAATGCTTCAATATACTCTGCTTCTACAGAAACTGTAAAATGAAGTTCATACTTGGCGCCATCTAAAACAGTTAAAAACAGAAACCTTGTATGATTACGTCAGCACAAACACTCAAAGACATATGTATGTATGTATGTATGTATGTATGTATGTATGTATGTATGTATGTATGTATGTATGTATGTATGTATGTATGTATGTATGTATGTATGTATGTATGTATGTATGTATGTATGTATGTATGTATGTATGTATGTATGTATGTATGTATGTATGTATGTAAGTAAAATACAATACGGTGTGTAATTAAACTCTGTGTGGGTTTCATGGCTATTCCATGTTCTTATGTTTCAGCCATATAATGACGACTTGGTGATACCATTGACGAATATTAATGTGATAAATCTCACATTCTCTGTAGCTGACAACACACGATAACTTACCAAGAGAAGGCTTCTTGACGGGAAAGGACGTTGATGCAGGAGGGGCTTGTGTTGTTGGAGGTAGGGTTGACGTAGAATGGGGACTACTGCTCTCCACAGCGCCCGACACTGTACTGTCTGTGGAATCAGTGGATGCCGTACTGTCTGTCGAACCTGTGGGTGCTGAGCTGTCTGTCGAACCTGTGGGTGCTGAGCTCTCTGTCGAACCTGTGGGTGCTGAGCTGTCTGTCGAACCTGTGGATGCTGAGCTGTCTGTAGAATCCGTGGGTGCCAGGCTGTCTGTCGAACCTGTGGGTGCTGAGCTGTCTGTCGAACCTGTGGGTGCTGAGCTGTCTGTCGAGCCTGTGGGTGCTGAGCTGTCTGTAGAACCTGTGGGTGCTGAGCTGTCTGTCGAAACTGGGTGCTGAGCTGTCTGTCGAGCCTGTGGCTGCTGAGCTGTCTGTCAAGCCTGTGGCTGCTGAGCTGTCTGTCGAACCCGTGGCCGCTGAGCTGTCTGTCGCACCCACAGATGATGAGCTGTCTGTCGCACCCGCAGATGATGAGCTGCCTGTCGACCCCGTGGCTGCTGAGCTGTCTGTCGAACCCGTGGCTGCTGAGCTGGCTGTCGCACCCGCAGATGATGAGCTGTCTGTCGAACCCGTGGCTGCTGTGCTGTCTGTTGAGCCTGTGGGTGCTGAGCTGGCTGTTGCACCCACAGATGATGAGCTGTCTGTCACACCCGCAGATGATGAGCTGTCTGTCGCACCCGCAGATGATGAGCTGTCTGTCGCACCCACGGATGATGAGCTGTCTGTCGAACCCGTGGCTGCTGAGCTGTCTGTCGCACCCACAGATGATGAGCTGTCTGTCACACCCGCAGATGATGAGCTGCCTGTCGAGTCTGTGGCTGCTGAGCTGTCTGTCGAACCCGTGGCTGCTGAGCTGGCTGTCGCATCCGCAGATGATGAGCTGTCTGTCGCACCCGCAGATGATGAGCTGTCTGTCGCACCCGCAGATGATGAGCTGTCTGTCGAACCCGTGGCTGCTGTGCTGTCTGTTGAGCCTGTGGGTGCTGAGCTGGCTGTTGCACCCACAGATGATGAGCTGTCTGTCACACCCGCAGATGATGAGCTGTCTGTCGAACCCGTGGCTGCTGAGCTGGCTGTCGCATCCGCAGATGATGAGCTGTCTGTCGCACCCGCAGATGATGAGCTGTCTGTCGCACCCGCAGATGATGAGCTGTCTGTCGAACCCGTGGCTGCTGTGCTGTCTGTTGAGCCTGTGGGTGCTGAGCTGTCTGTGGAGCCTGTGAGTGATGAGCTGTCTGTTGAGCCTGTGGGTGCTGAGCTGGCTGTCACACCCGCAGATGATGAGCTGTCTGTCGCACCCGCAGATGGTGAGTTGTCTGTCGAGTCTGTGGATGCTGATGTTGGACTACTTGATACGGTGCTTGTACTTTCTGTGAAAAGTTGAGATTTATTCCATTTTACTGAGAGAAACTTTCCTCGTTAGTCATCAATCAACATGTTTAAGTTATTTAGATGTTTAAGTTATTGAGTTAATTCCAGAAATGGTAAAGATATGTATGTCATTATGGTTTTGAATATGATAAATTAAATAAGACCAAATATACATACCATACTACACAGTATTTCACAATGCGTTTTAGTTTTTGACAATCTAAATGGTAAAACATAACAAATAACTCTTTTTAAACAGAGGTCAATGTCACAAGTAAAGTTGTCTTACCACTTGAAGAGTTGATACATGCGGATATCACCAGCAGGATATATATCATAAACACGGAGGTTCCCATCTTGGTGTCTGAAACGTGGAAGAAAGAAATGAAAACGAGATGTTGAAACTGTTAATATAATACCACAGCACAGATGGTATTATTCGACTCAAGGTACAACGTGCTAAGAACTCTTCTGATACATTTTCGAAACCACAAAAAAACTGACGATGGCTAATCGATCATCACTTAAAACCACCGTGCCTGTGACGTCATCTCAGGACAGGGAGTCACTAGAACATATTTCAGTCACGGATTCCACTGTGAATCATGCCGACATTAATTCATGTCACCAGAAGATGCGCACTAAACACTGCCTGAAGTACGCCACTAAAACTCAATATCTCCACTAAACACTGCCAAAAGTACGTCATTCAAGCACAATATCTCCACTAAACACTGCCAGAAGTACGTTATTCAAGCAGACAATCTCCAATAACCCTGCTAGAATTACGTCATTCAAGCACAAGATCTCCACTGAATCCTACCAGCAGTACGTCATTCAAGCACAAAATCTTCAGTAAACACTACCAGTAATTCATAATCTCAGAGCAAGATCTGCAATGATCCTTCCAGTGATGGCATATCAGTCAAAAGAAATGCACTCAAACCTGCCACTATTACGCCATACGTGTTCTCTTGAAGAACAAAATATGTACTATAGGAGTGACAAGGTAGCATGGTTGCTTGTGTGGGCCCTTGGACAACACTATTGATGATTAAGTAATATGCTAACCAGACCTCTGGAAGAACATCACAAGTAAATGGGTGGTAGAGTAACTTGTGTGTCCTCCTGAAGAACATCGCAAGTACAGGTATGAAAGGGTCACTTGTTGTCCTCTTGAAGAAAGTTGCAAGTACAGGGATGAAAAAACTTGTTGTACAGAACGAGTACAGGGATGAAATGGTCACTTGTTGTCCTTTTGAAGAACATCGCAAGTACAGGTTTGAAAGTTTCACTTGTTGTCCACTTGAAGAACATCGCAAGTACAGGTATGAAAGAGTCACTTGTTGTCCCCTTCAAGAACATCGCAAGTACAGATATGAAAGAGTCACTTGTTGTCCCCTTCAAGAACATCGCAGGTACAAGGATGGTAGGGTCAATTGTTGTCCCCTTCAAGAACATTGCAGGTACAAGGATGGTAGGGTAACGTGTTGTCCCCTTCAAGAACATCGCAGGTACAAGGATGGTAGGGTAACTTGTTGTCCCCTTCAAGAACATCGCAGGTACAAGGATGGTAGGGTAACTTGTTGTCCCTTCAAGAACATCGCAGGTACAAGGGTAGGGTGACTTGTTGTAGGGTAACTTGTTGTCCCCTTCAAGAACATCGCAGGTACAAGGATGGTAGGGTAACTTGTTGTCCCCTTCAAGAACATCGCAGGTACAAGGATGGTAGGGTAACTTGTTGTCCCCTTCAAGAACATCGCAGGTACAAGGATGGTAGGGTAACTTGTTGTCCCCTTCAAGAACATCGCAGGTACAGGAGGATGGTAGGGTAAGGATGTTGTAACCCCTTCAAGAACATCGCAGGTACAAGGATGGTAGGGTAACTTGTTGTCCCCTTCAAGAACATCGCAGGTACAAGGATGTAGGTAACTTGTTGTACAAGGATGGTAGGGTAACTTGTTGTCCCCTTCAAGAACATCGCAGGTACAAGGATGGTAGGGTAACTTGTTGTCCCTTCAAGAACATCGCGCAGGTTAAGGGTCACTTGTTGTCCACTTGAAGGATGGTAGGGTAACGTGTTGTCCCCTTCAAGAACATCGCAGGTACAAGGATGGTAGGGTAACGTGTTGTCCCCTTCAAGAACATCGCAGGTACAAGGATGGTAGGGTAACGTGTTGTCCCCTTCAAGAACATCGCAGGTACAAGGATGGTAGGGTAACGTGTTGTCCCCTTCAAGAACATCGCAGGTACAAGGATGGTAGGGTTACTTGTTGTCCCTTCAAGAACATCGCAGGTACAAGGATGGTAGGGTAACTTGTTGTCCCTTCAAGAACATCGCAGGTACAAGGATGGTAGGGTAACGTGTTGTCCCCTTCAAGAACATCGCAGGTACAAGGATGGTAGGGTAACGTGTTGTCCCCTTCAAGAACATCGCAGGTACAAGGATGGTAGGGTAACGTGTTGTCCCCTTCAAGAACATCGCAGGTACAAGGATGGTAGGGTAACGTGTTGTCCCCTTCAAGAACATCGCAGGTACAAGGATGGTAGGGTAACTTGTTGTCCCTTCAAGAACATCGCAGGCACAAGGATGGTAGGGTAACTTGTTGTCCCCTTCAAGAACATCGCAGGTACAAGGATGGTAGGGTAACTTGTTGTCCCCTTCAAGAACATCGCAGGTACAAGGATGGTAGGGTAACTTGTTGTCCCCTTCAAGAACATCGCAGGTACAAGGATGGTAGGGTAACGTGTTGTCCCCTTCAAGAACATCGCATGTACAAGGATGGTAGGGTTACTTGTTGTCCATTCAAGAACATCCCAGGTACAAGGATGGTAGGGTAACGTGTTGTCCCCTTCAAGAACATCGCAGGTACAAGGATGGTAGGGTAACGTGTTGTCCCCTTCAAGAACATCGCAGGCACAAGGATGGTAGTGTCACCTTGTGTTCTGTTGAAGAACAGGGATGATAAAGTAACTAATGGGCTACTTCAGGTTTGAAGACGAGCAAACTTACCCTGTAAATGTGAGACGTCGGTTTGATTTTAGACACACGTATTCGTACTTTTCACTGCACTATCAGTCAGGTAAAACGTCGCTGTAGGACTTTCAAACACAAGTCATATACAGAAGCACCTCGCCACATAACAAGCATATGTGTATGACATCACGGCGTCCTTGTGATAAACATGAACCACTTGGCAACGCCTGTTAGTAAATATGGATCAAGTACCGTCTGGCACAGAAATAAAAAAATGTTTCCTATGTTCAAAGTGTACTTTACCTTGATATTTTTTAAGATATTGCTACAAATTTGTGTGCTCAGGCTTCACGACTTCAGGCTTCAATATATATATGGAACAGAAATATAGACCTCTATCCAATCTTTTATTGCATTTGAGGAGATAGTTAAGTCTTTTATAAGCCTTTATGTTTTATAACAAGTGTTCACACACATCTCAAAGCTAGTAACCTGTGCGTCTATGGGGAATCATAAATCACAGAACCATTAAACGTAAGTACAGAACAACGCTCCCGAGGGGGTAGTAGGACTGTGAAACATAATTCACCCCGACATTTACAATGCTCTTTTCATGATTTAGGGAGTAATAGAGCATCGGGGCAACGATTTGATTTTCTGCTGGGTGGGGGTGAGGTGAGTTGACGAGGTTATAGGAATGGTGCAGGGTGTTTTTGGGAAAGAAATAATCACACTCTGGTCAACTGAATATGTTTTAGCTGTAATAATGTCGTTTCTATATAAAAAGACAAGACGTGAGTGAGTGTTTTTAGCAATATTCCAACAATATCACAGCGGGGGACACCAGAAATGGACTTCAAACATTGTGCCCATGTGGGGAATCAAACCCGGGTTTTCGACGTGACAAGTGAATGCTTTAACTACTAGGCAAACCCACCGCCCCAAAAGGGAATGAAGATTCAGGATGACCCACAGTACATCAATCGAGGTTTGCATGTTGTAAATTCATCACTGAATCAAGAAATTAGCCTTGCTATCTTCAGCTGATGTTACTTGGAGTTTGCTAACCCGAACACCCTTCCGCAACAACCAATCTGAGTAGCATTCATCAACCTCACAAAGCCTTCATCCCCGTGTACCGAGACTGATTCCTCGGGGTGATCCAGTTTCTCCAAACATCCATGAAAGAAATCGTGCAGTGGAGTAAAGCAGGGCTGTGTACTTTGTCCTACCCTTTTCAGAATCTTCGCAGTCGCGCTTTGAACCCTTGCGGTGCTGAGTCGTTCAATCGGACCAGCCTGCAGTCAAAATCTGAAGTACGTGAAGCCTTATCAGAGCCATTCTTTTCATAGACGTCTCGGCTGTGGCAACCCGTTCAACAAAGGCAAAGAAAAGACATTAACCACGTCATCGAACAGAATACAGCAATCTTTATCAACATCTGGAGATGGTGGACCACCATCAATTTGTCCTTGATGCTGAGATTAACAGGACAGGTAGGCATAGCGTCAACCACCCTCGCCAAACTGACGAAAGGGGAAGCTGACCATCCACACCAGGGTTGTTGTCTACGAGGCCTGCATCCTAAGCAAATTGATGTGCGGCAACCAGTCTTGGACTCTCTCCTGTCGACAAGAGTGAGTGAGTAAGGCTGTACGCCGGCTTGAACAATATTCCAGTAATATCATGGCGGGGCACGTATGTTTCACACATTGCACCAATGTGAGAAATCGAACCTGTGTCTCTAACCACTGGGCTACCCAACTGACCCATGACAAGAACAGATTGTAAATGTGTTCCACATGCGCAGCCAAATGGCGGATCCTTTGAATGAGCTTGAACGACTAGGTCACAAACATAAGGTTCATTTTCATCTTTAGTCGTACCTTCTACTGTGCCTTCTTTGGCAATCATGCTTGTGCTTTTCTGGTACATCATGTATCATCACTGATTGACAGCCATTCATTCAAGTAACTGTCACCACCTATTTTGCCTTTTATTTTACCCCCCAATGGGAATACTCGAGACTGGCAATTCTCTGGTGTTGGCGACAATCATTAAATATAGAACGTGTGTGCAAACGAATACCTAATCTTGACTATCCTCAGAAACAAATTCCGTTTGGTGTAAAGTTTAAAACAGTTTTGAAAGTGAAATGAAAGGATCACTGAAAATCAGGGACGACACCAGGTGTTCAAATGGTGGGCATGTCCTGTCCTACTGGTAGCATCCGCCATGCAAACTTTCCGCCAAATGGAATCATGTTTTGCCTGACGCAAAACGAGTAAATATTTTGTTATTTAAACATCAGTCCAGCAATAGCACTACGGAGGACAGCAGGAATGACCTGCATGGTAACAATGTGAGTGGTAACTTCACCACTACGGAGGACAGCAGGAATGACCTGCATGGTAACAATGTGGGTGGTAACTTCACCACTACGGAGGACAGCAGGAATGACCTGCATAGTAACAATGTGGGTGATAACTTCAAGGAATGACCTGCAATGGGTGATAACTTCACCACTACGGAGGAGGACAGCAGGAATGGCCCTGCATAGTAACAATGACAGGGTGATAACTTCACCACTACGGAGGACAGCAGGAATGGCCTGCATAGTAACAATGTGGGTGATAACTTCACCACTACGGAGGACAGCAGGAAAAGCCTGCATAGTAACAATGTGGGTGATAACTTCACCACTACGGAGGACAGCAGGAATGACCCTGCATAGTAACAATCACCACTACGGAGGACAGCAGGGGTGATAACTTCACCACTACGGAGGACAGCAGGAATGGCCTGCATGGTAACAATGTGGGTGATAACTTCACCACTACGGAGGACAGCAGGAATGGCCTGCATGGTAACAATGTGGGTGATAACTTCACCACTACGGAGGACAGCAGGAATGGCCTGCATAGTAACAATGAGGGTGATAACTTCACCACTACGGAGGACAGCAGGAATGGCCTGCATGGTAACAATGTGGGTGATAACTTCAGCATAACGCGCGGACCCTTTGACCTCTGGTCTATCCCACCACCCCACATAGATTAGAACAACTTACAAGAAAATTTGTTTATCCAGGAAACCTGTCTAGGGTTACTCACGCACTATCACGACTAGAAAACCGGAAATGGTAGTCACAGTTGTCCCCAGCTGAAGAAATTAATCCCTTTGTTCATTGTTCGGACACTTCATCAACTGGACTGTCCTATTGCTCTCGATACATTGTCGGCGACATTCCCGACTTAAAGGTGTTCACTCATAATTTCATATGAATATTCACAGCCTTTCCAGTCACACAAGGAAAAGACAAGCATATTGTACTGGTATTATGCTAAGCTCAGTGATTTAATCCCAAACCCACACATAAGTTCAAATAGGCTTTAATGTCAACACAAACCTTGTCAACAGTACTAAATACAGGCTTGTGTAGTCAGTCACGATCACGTTCTCCTCACAGAAATCTCGAGATAGGTCACGCTGTACACCCATCATCATTCACTGACACAGAGGATGCGATAAGTGTCTTGCATCAGCATTAGGTCACTGTTTGGTGGACAAATACCTACATATGTCCTTCAGGGGCTGTAACATTCTATACTGTTGATCACTGGATTGTCTGGTCCAGACTCAATTATTTACAGACCGCCGCCATGTAGCCCGAATACTGTTGAATGTGGCGTTAAACAACCAACCAACTTAATATTCTAACAGTTTCTTTATGAACTGCTACATGAAATCATAATTGTTACTGTGAATATTATTGACTATTGACAATTTTACATTGACCTTAAACAAGAATTAATTTCGTTTGGTGTATACTCAAACAATACTAGTCCGGCAAAGGTTATATTTGTATAATTTCAAATAACAGGAAACACTTTTAATTATCAAGAAACCGAAACTGCGTTGTATCATACTGAGTCATATTAAGCGTCACTGTCTTTGGTTTTGTTGAGAGTTTAAAAAATAGATATTTAGATTATGAAACATAATTGATGTGTGCGACTTCGCCCTTGAGTGTTTGCGCTCATCCAAATCTCTGTACCATAATGATTTTACAGGGAAAATAATGGCCAGTGACTGCATCATAATGGTTTTACAGGGAAAATAATGGCCAGGAAAATAATGGCCAGTGACTGTACCATAATGGTTTTACAGGGAAAATAATGGCTAGTGACTGTACCATAATGGTTTTACAGGGAAACTAATGGTTAGTGACTGTACCATAATGGTTTTACAGGGAAACTAATGGCTAGTGACTGTACCATAATGGTTTTTACAGGGAATATAATGGCTAGTGTTCACTCACTGACAGAATATTATTTTACGCACAATGAGCATTATTCATGCTATACCAGTACACACTTATCTGGATCAAATAAACAAATGGTGTAAATAACTTCCCGGGCCGTCGTATGACAGACAGCCAACCAAATCCCTTCTACCCCATCCCAAACATAGGTAACTCGGGACATACCTATCTAGAGATCACGGGGTGCTTTTGCCACGTAATTCATAATAATTTGACAGATGAATTTCGTGTCACTGAGAAATCTGTAAGTACTTGGTCCGCTCAGATACCATGGTACAGACCCATGTCAATGAGCCATCTTATTGCGTGGCGTCTGAGAGGTCAACGTGGTCAGTTTATATACAGAAGCCTAATCGTCTTACCACACTCACTGCACTGGTAAGGTGTGGCAACATTCCAGGACATAATGCCATCTCTCTAGCAACCGAAACGTGGTGTAGATAACAGCTCTGTGCATGACATGTCTCTCAATGGTGTAGACCTCGAAGATAAGAAGAGACATGCCACATCCACTAGCTGTGGGGTAGTACTTGTTGTAGGTAGTCGTGAATTGAACATCTCTTGACATGATTGATTGGACGGTAGATTGATCGTTAGACAACAAAGATCCTCATAGATGTTAATTGCTTGAGAATTACAACATTTTAACCAAAAAGAGAGTTATTTCGAAATATTGAAAGAGGACACACACACACACACACACACACACACACACACACACACACACATAGATATATGTATAAGCGATAAGTATTTTATATAAATGTTGAAAGCAGTATAGAAACCGTGACACAGACAGAAGGTGTAGATATGTGAGCGAACGAACGAACGTGCGCACGAACGAACGTGCGAACGAACAATCCGACCAACCGACCACACAATCAAACAATAAATCGATTTCTAAATCAATGAATGAAGGAGTGGGTGGATGAATGAATCAATGAATGAAATAGTGAATGATGCTTTACGCCTATATTAGCAATACCAACAAATGGTTGTATACAATGTTCCCATTTGCCAGTAATATCCAGCACTGCAAGTATAACGTCTTTAAGTGGCATTTAGAAGCTGGTATGATGAAGAGGAACACCTTTTATGGACAAGAAGCAGCTGTCTATCCATAAACAGTATTTCTCTCCACTGTAAGTATAAAACGCAAGAGAATAATCGGTCTGGAGTATCTGCCGACACCGATTCCAGTAGTCGTGATGGGTATAATGATGGTGAAAACTGAATAGCTCACCGAAAATGAGGCGATGACTCCAGGTGTTTTGGAAGAGGGTTAGCATGTCTTTATCAACTGTACTGCATAATTTGTGCTTAATAAGTGCTTAAAATGATAAGTGTTTGGTCACAAAGGTACGCCACAGCCCTTATCACCTGGACAGATAAACAGACACACACATTCTCAGACAATTAACGATTATCTACATATACTGAACGAATGTGAAGAAACTATTTCTATTTATAGGCGGAGAACAAACAGAGAAATATATATATATTAAGTATACATAATATATAGGCAGCTTCACACACAGGCATAAATATAGAGAACTGCGGTTATAACGAAGTCAAAGCATCCGTTAGATCGTTATAACCGTTGTTCCTTAACAGCATTTTGATTTATTTTATAGTGCAAGTAACCAAAATGAAAAGTTCGTTATGTCGGCCAGTTCGTAATAAGCGGGTTCGTTTTAAACGTAGTTTACTGTACATATTTAATTATTGCCAATAAAACGGATATATAGCAACTGCTATTGTTATTGCTTATAGGAGATATATCTTATGGATGTGGAAAGGGTTTTGACGTTCTTATTTAAAAAGAACTGTGATGACATGTGAGTGAGTGTATTTTTACGCCGCTTTTAGCAATATTTCAACGATATCACTGCGGTGGATTCCAGACATGGGCTTCACACATTGTACCCATGTGTGGAATCGAACCTGGGTCATCGACGTGACGAGCGAACACTTTAACCACTAGGCAACCCCCACCGGCCCCGTGATGGCATGTACTGATGTATAATACATACAATAATATAGTACAGTATGATACAGTCGGAATCATACAGTCGAATCTTCTTTGTGAAGAGATTTATTTATGATTATTGAAAGAGATTTGTCTGTTTCTTTATTTATCATTCATTACTTAACTTGATCTCTCCTTAGTCCAAGATAGTGACCATTACATTATTTAACCTTCCTTGATTGTGACGGTGGGCAGACATCAGGTAGACGACGAATGTTATCGTAAACTGTTTGATCGATAGCAGGAAATATATTGTGATTTATTGTTATTCCTTTATGTGGCTCTTTAGATTAGCAAGTAATTCCTTAACAAATCATTATGATAAAATATCGTTGACCGTTCTGTTATATGAGTAAGTTGTATAAATCATTAAAACGACGACTCAAAACCAGAGTTATATATTTCAAACGGAGTTTCCTTGAGATGACCAGGATATGTTCCAACTAAAATGTGTTCTAAATAAATAATTAAACTTTCTTTGAGAGGCATTTTAGAAGTTGTGAAGATGAAGGAAAACTGATTTGTATAGATAGTCAATAAAGAAGTTGACTATCCATACAAATCAGTTTTCCTTCAAATAATTAAACATTAAAATGAGCAGGATATGGTCCAACTAATCACGTGTTTTAAAATAATTAATAACTAAAAGTTAGATCTTTACCTTACAATGGCGAAATCCACCTGTATAAAGTTCCTTGAATCTGGCAACGTAGTGTGGCGGATGCAACCCGAAGTACGTTGCTATCTATATCCGCGAGGCGCGACACTGATAGGGAATATACCTGATCTCACATATACCCCGGGTTTTATGGGTAAGTAGGACCCCACCCGTACGTGCCAACAACGTGACCTCGATTAACCGGCCTGTGTTTCTTCATTGTAGCCATGATCCTTATCAGACATCGCGTCTATGACGTAGTAATAATCTTTCCGGGTCAATCAATATTGCATCGTAAAAGGCATTGCTCAATCTTCCGTATGCTTAGTGGCAAAAACGATATATACGAGTGGTTATGTTTTTTTAAAGAAAATTACAGATTGAGTTTTGGGAGGATAATGATTATGCGTGAACATTACTCTGACATATGGGGACATGTTAGAGAGTAAAGTTCTCGTTTAGGTTTGGTTTGACAATACCTAATTACTTTTTGTTGTCATACTTAGTAACTCGATACTTCCTTCACTTAAGAGTTTACCTCAACATAGGCTCTTTATGCGGAAAGTCGATACGACAAGGAGTTGGGCCATATGACTCGACGGTGGCCATCTGTTGTGACTTGTCTAGTGTTGTGCGGTGGAACGGTTACATGTGTATTTGTCTGTCCATACTCAACTGGCACCCATTTATATTTGTGGCCTGTCTTCGCTCGTCGTTTCAAAGGCCCTGGCATTCATTTATCATTGTGGTGGGTGGTGGGTGGCCAAGTGGTTAAAGGGTTCGCTCGTCGTCAAGCGTACAAGGTTGTGGTGGGTGGCGAAGTGGTTGAAGTGTTCGCTCGTCGTGTCGAAGGCCCGGGTTCCATTCCCATCGCGGTAAATTCGATACCAGTTTCAAGCGTTCCAAGCTGGGATATGGTTGTGGTGGGTGGCGAAGTGGTTGAAGTGTTCGCTCGTCGTGTCGAATCCACGGGTTCGATTCCCATCGCGGTAAATTCGATACCAGTTTCAAGCGTTCCAAGCTGGGATATGGTTGTGGTGGGTGGCGAAGTGGTTGAAGTGTTCGCTCGTCGTGTCGAATCCACGGGTTCGATTCCCATCACGGTAAGTTCGATACCAGTTTCAAGCGTTCCAAGCTGGGATATGGTTGTGGTGGGTGGCCAATGGGTTACAGTGTTCTCCCATTTTGTCGAACCCTCGGGTTCGAACACCGGTACAGTTCGTTATAATTTTCAGGCGTCCTAAGCTGTCATATCGCTGTGGTGGGTGGCCAAGTGCTTAAAGTTCACTGGTCGTGTCGAACACCCGGGTTCGAATCCAAACAAGGTATAACAGTATAATCACAATATATTTCCTCTTTAAATATAACAAAGTATCTTTTATTGTTACAGTAACAGAATAAGACACACCTCATACGAGCCCAAGGCATGTAGGTTGACGATTTCAAGCACCTCGTACATTCGATACCAATTTCAAGTCTCTCGTCAACCAACATGCCTCGAACTAGTATCGGGTGTGTCTAATTCATTTACTGTTACATGACAGATACTTTGTTTCGTGTGTTTTTTTCACTTATGACTGAAGTTAAAATATATGAAAGAGCTACTTGAATATTATGAATAATTCTTCCGGTTTGTTATTGAGTGTGTGTTAATTGATCAATCAATCAATGGTTATCCAATCAAATGCAGTGGAATCATTTGCTGATTGGGATCTGGTGGTCACTGGGGCCAGAGGCCCACTCACTCACTCACTCCCTCACTCACTCATTATTAAGAATCTGGGAAAAGAATGCTTTATTTCTCATATTATAGTATTTTAGAGATTCCGTTTCTCGGCAGTCTTCTGCTGCGTGACAACTGCTATGAAACATTTACCGCTACATGTACAGCTGGGTAACGCACACACAGGTTACTGGTTATAATTTAACACAACAACAGTTAACCGATAAATCACCGAATGACACTGTAATCCCGTGTATAAAAGTTGTGTGAGTAATGGCCTTCAAATCTCAGGTAAAGCAGGTACCTCTGTGTTAAACGTTATAATGATTGCCAGCATCAACATCAAATGAAATATATTAAATATCTTGAATATAAATGATTTAAAAGGGACGTCACATTGGTCATTTATTTCTATGAAGGACACAAGCCTGACTCTTTCCAAACAGTGGTTGGTGGTTTGGTTGGTTGGTGTTTAAGGCGGCACTCAGCAATATTCCAGCTATATGACGTCGGTCTGTAAATAATGGAGTCTGGGCCAGACAATCCAGTAATCAATAGCATGACTTGGTTGATACATGTCATGGTATCCCACTTGCGTAGATCGATGCTCATGCTGTTGATTACCGGATTGTTTGGTCCAGACTCGATTATTTACAGACCGTCGCCAAATAGGTGGAATATTACTTAAACAACAACAACAAAAACAAAATCATGAAATACATAATCGCTATCAGTAAAGAGACAGGTATTCACCATGTATTTGTGATATGTAATTGATTGCCATGCTGATTAAACATAAGTCATATGGTGTGCCAATTTGGAACAATACGGTAGTTGTAGCATAACCTTTTTAATCTTGTTTTTTATAAATTCCATAAACATTTTATGCCTGCTTTAAATATTTTACCCCTTGAATGGCGAGTACCGTTCAACGTTCATGTACTAATGTCCACCATCATGAGTTTTACTTAGTAAATAGTCATGGCCTTATCTTAGTCACACCTAGTTGTTGACGTCGAGTAAAGATCGTAAATATCTTAGGACGCTATCACCGGGCACTACAGTCGGAGGAAGGTGTGTTCATGTACGTCAGCTGGCGATGTAACAGAATTATCATGTTACTCCGTTAATCGAGCTTCCTGAGATATTTCAGTGTCTCATATCTCCTATTTCTGTGCATTACTATGAATCAGTGAGGAAGAGAACCCACTTCCTTGTTGGCCACCTTGTGGCGAAAATAACTTTAGTTCGACATTCAGACACGTTTGTGTCCTTAGCGGGGGAAGCCTTTAGACGGGCACCGTCGTTATTCCCAGAAATAGAGGCGGTGGCCTAGCCCAGTGGGTAAAGCGGTCGCTCGTCATGCAGAAGACCCGGGTTCGAGTCGCCACATGGGTACAATGTATGAAGGCAATTTCTGGTGTCCCCCGCTGTGATATTGCTGGAATATTGCTAAAAGCGGCGTAAAACCATACTCACACACTTTACTGAGAAAATGTTATATTTCTCACGTGTCGTCATGCCCGTTGACCTGAATGTTATTGTTCATGCAATCAAGCATTCGTTTACCAAGACTCTACTAGGTCACCGTGACATAGCTTTTAACAAATGGACTTGGGACAAAAGAAACCCACTGACTCATATTGTAGTTCGTTAAAGGCCGCACTCTGTGGCAGCGTCCAAATGTAGTAAGTGGTAGTTATGGAAGGTCCCACGTTAAACAATGACCTAAATTAAAAGGCAGATAGAGCTTTCTAAACGTTTGAGTGATATCAGTTTCCCCCATGCCCAGTTGATCAAACACCGGCATATGTACAGAAGGAGTACTAGCGTCAGATTTGAATTAGGTCACTCGATCAGACAAACAGATCTGAATATTCATGTTGAATTTGTTATG